TCTAATGGACACAGTCGAGTGTGCGCACTGTTTTACCGGACTTTTACTGGGCATGAGCTGATGGAGGTAGCTGCGAAGATTCCCACCCGACATCAACTCCAGGATTACCATCACCTGAAGATAAGGACAGAGAGAGAAAGAGAGAGTGAGCGAGCGCGCGAGAGAGAGAGAGAGAGAGAGAGAGAGAGAGAGAGAGAGAGAGAGAGAGAGAGAGAGAGAGAGAGAGAGAGAGAGAGAGAGAGAGAGAGAGAGAGACAGAGAGAGAGAGAGAGAGGAGAGAGAGGGAGAGAGAGAGGGAGAGAGAGGAAGAGAGAGAGAGGGAGAGAGAGAGAGAGAGAGAGAGAGAGAGAGAGAGAGAGAGAGAGAGATAGAGATAGAGAGAGGGAGAGGGAGAGAGAGAGAGAGGGAGAGAGGTAGAGGGGGCGAGAGAGAGAGAGAGTAAGTTACATTTATAAAGACAGGTAAGTCTAACAAATGAGAACTGAAACCTCTACAACAGGGTTTTTACGCCTGAAAGCAGGTGCATGATTTAACAAGCAGGTTGTCAGTCTAGATTCTATGCGCAGATGGAGAAAAAGCGCAGAATTTTTGTAATGAGATGAGAGAGAGAGAGAGAGAGAGAGAGAGAGAGAGAGAGAGAGAGAGAGAGAGAGAGAGACAGAGAACGACAGAGAGATACAGAGACAGAGAGAGAGACAGAGACAGAGACAGAGAGGGGGGGGGGGGAGATCTATTGTTTGAACGTTTGAGAGACAGATTGATAGATTGATTGATCAAAAGAGACAGAGAAAGTGGCAGTTCGAGAGCATGTGTGATTGGAAGGAGAGTAAGCAGCATCACCGGCACCACACGTATGCACGTACTTCTGAAGTAATGCAAGTCTACAGATTTTCGGCCCATTCAAATTTCGGCCTCCCAAGGCTAAAACCGATTTTCAGCTACATCAAATGTTCGGTCTGTACTGCTGCTGCCTGTATACACTGTCACACTGAACCTTGCAAAACAACATTTTGGCTGCAACAAATTTCCGGCCAAACATGACCAGGCCGAAAATAGCTGAAAATGGATGAATAGACATGTGCCGAATATTTGTTTAGAGTATAGGAACACACACAGACACACACACACACAGTCCTACAAAATACTAGCTGGCCTCAAGCGAGGGTCACTGGTTTGAGTCCTGCTGGTGACAGTCAGTTTTTTCTTCAGACTTTTCCCATTTGCATCCTTTCCCTCAAGCCAGCGAAATAGATACACTGTAGGATTGCCTAATCGCAACATTGGGTTGCACCATTGAGGCACAATTCCAGCACAGAAGCGCTCATAAACTAACACATTCTGATTTGCCAAACCACGGCACCAATCACAAGACAGGTGATGGATGAGCGCTAGCAGACAATGTGCAGACAATGTGCAGACAATGTGCAGAATACACCACCTTTCTCACATGAACACGCACATACTCACCAGCACACTGCGCATTCAATGGACAGGGGCACAGCAGCTGGTCCGGCCGCTCCGGCTTTGGCCGGACATTTTTTAAAAACATAATGCCAAAGTCATGAAGTTGATTGTTCCAACTAGGAACACACGTTCGCTCGCTCGCTTCCGGATGGCAGTCGTGAGTCAGTCAAGTGTCAAGTTCGGCAAGAAGCGTGCGTGTGTTCCTAGTTGGAACAATCAACTTCATGACTATTACCGCCGAAGTCGCAACTTCTAAGTTCATAATGCCAAAGGTGCCCAGAATGCAGGATGTTGCACCCTAGTTTAAAAATTTCCCGGGGGATACCCCTCCGGCCGGACCTCCAACGGCGGTGCTACGTGCCTGATAGACATTTAGGCGGTCAACTTCCACCTGGCCTCTTCCATAGGGAAAGTAAATAATTATGGCTAACAAAGCTATACAGTCAACTTTGCGTAAAACGACACTCGGCGGGGCATCAGAATAGTGTCCTTATTCGCAAAGTGTCCTTAAACCCGAAGTCTCATTATATGTATTACAGTTGGATGGGACTTTGCTCTGGGCATGGAAATTCTGCCGTTAGTCGCGAATTGTCGTTATATCCGCAGTCGTTATTAGCGGAGTTGACTGTACATAGTGTATTGTACAGAACAACAAGGCAGCGCACTAGCTCTGTGCCTTGTAGTTCTGTTGTTTAGCGTAGCGTAATGACACATTATCACCATCAACTTTACACACAGCAACTTGGGGAACCTTACTGGGTCTGACTGTGTGACCACGCCAACCAGCCTGACAACATTGCTATGGTAGAATTGCCCCATCAAGGCCGCTTCTTGTAGCAGTGTTTTCTTGGCTTCCACGCTGGACACCTTCAGTATCTTTACTGCCACAGGAACATGTTGACCCATCTAAACATTTACATTGTAAATCCAAACACACAGACAGACAGACACACACACACACACACACACACACACACACACACACACACACACATATACACACACACGTACACACATACACATACACATACACACACATACACATACACATACACACACACATACTACTACTACTACTACTACTACTACTACTACTACTACTACTACTACTACTACTACTACTACTACTACTACTACTATGTACAGCTACCCTATAGGGCCACGCCGCTCCCAGAAGCGGGAGACAACGACAAGAAGAGAGAAGAGAAGAGAGAGAAATCGCAAAGTCAACAATATTTGGCATGGCGTTGCAAGCACACATACACACACACACACACATACACACACACACACACACACACACACACACACACACACACACACACACACACACACACATACACACACACAAACACACACACAACACACACACACATACACACACATGCTAGGTGTACTCAGACAGTGTGCCCCAAGATCGCCAAGTAAGGGCATACTTCAAGTTGTACTTAAGAAGGCCAAAAACTACCACAACTCCGACCATTGCTCCGACTACTGCTTCAGCAGCTGCTGCTGATATTCCTGCTGTTGAGAGTGTACAGTCACCTACCTGTGCCTATATATTTGGCATAGTGCATCCATATGTAACTTGACCCCGCTTCCTATTTCACACCTTCGCGTACGCACATGCACCTCGCATGCACCAGCGGTAACTGTTGCGTGCCTGTGCTGTTTACATGCCTACTCTGTTCCCTGTGTTCTCCACTTCTCCTTCTGTCTTCATCAAGTATAGTTTGTAATTCCTACCGGAGTGCGATGGTTGTGTTGGACTGAGAGAGTGTGCGTGGGCATTTATCCTTTAGTGCTGTTGCAGTAACGCAACAGAGAGTAGCATGGTATTATGGTGATACGGTCCTCCAGCAATGGATCTGGGTCTGTGGCAGACATCACTAATTTAAAGGCTCTATTCCCTACACTTGGTCAAACCTGTAGAGCGTGACAGCACAACACAGTGGGTTCATCAATCCTACACATCAGTTGCTATGGAGCTTGCCTATGGTTGCTCCAATTTTAGAGCAATCACACGGGAATGCTAGGTGATCATATCCACAGCAGTGCCTCACCATTGACAGCTTTCCGACTGTGACGACACCGAACTCCCTGCAGACATGCCAGCACAGGTGTAGAACAAAACCTATGGTCAGTATCCAGCCGGTATCTTATTAAAGTATACACAAAACCTGTCCATGCCATTTGTACTTAGCTCGTGCATATGTTCCAGTGAGTGTATATGAGATGTCCAGTGCTGTCGTTTAGGACACCCTGGCAAAGCAATGATACACAACTGTGATAGTCATATCACAGGTACTAAGCCAGGTCCGGGCCGGATACAGATTTACACACAACGTTCAACCACACTCCCGTAGGTAACCTCGGAACATGGAACATAGAAAACCGGTTGTGGTGGAGGGGGGGGGGGGGGCGGGGGAGGGGTATGCACCCCCAAGAATAAGGCATATGGCCCACATAGCATAACGGTGTCTGTACAAAAGAAACAGAATTAGATGATCCTGCACAGGTATTAGCCCAGGTCCGAGCCGGACGCTGGCTTGCACCTGTTGGTCAACCATACTCCGGCATGTACATACACTGAACTCGGAGAATAGCAACCAGAGGAAGAGAGACCGGTGGTATTCGCCCCCCCCCCCCCCCCCCCCCAAATATATCACAATCATACAGTCATTCTGATGGGGAAGGACCACAGATTTGGCATGACTAGTTATAACGTCACTACTTCCACAACTATCGGCAAAAGAATAGTAATGTTTCCACTAAACCTCATCCACAGAGTGCCCGGTAGACCAAGGTGCCCGTAACTTGGAGGTCCGGATAAGAGAGGTATGAGTGTACTAACATAACAGCAGATAGTGACTTACCCAGCCCCAAGCTCTTTGCCAATGGTGATGGACGATCGAGTGATTTGCTGATAGGCTGGCTGCTGCAGGTGTGCGTACAGCTCTTCAACAGACCCCGGAGGTTCCTGATACGGCTGTTCGTCATCCCTCACGCGTGGAGCTATAGAATCCTGCAGGCAAGGTATAGTGATGAATATTATTTTTACTTCTACAAAGTTGTGAGCGGTTCCATAATAATTATATTTAATATTATCATTATTTGAGGGATTCCCCAAAGGCCTTGATCAAGGGGGCCTCCGGCTGCATACACACATCAGAGTAAGGCGCATTGACACTGTTGAAGTGCACCAGTAATTCCTATCATTGACTGCAAGTTCAGCGCATGAGAAAGTGAACCAGATACTCATTGCATCTACTGCTCAATGAAATCCGATCGAGTGATCCGGCTTTGCGCCATGAACGAGAGGGAATCCTAGCATTTGCAGGTCTAGTGTTGCAGAGTGCCCAGGTTGTACTCAACTCAAGATCACACGATCTGATTTCATTGAGCAGCATTGTGTGTGTTAGCAGGGAGTACACTTCACTTGATAACAGGAGGGTAAGAAGCAGCTTTCCGCGTGGTCATCAATGAATTTGTTCCACCTCCGACACATGCGCTCTCTGCCTGACCCCATCATGCCCATGTGTCGGAAGTAGAAAAAAATTAATTCATCGGAGTACACTTTAGCAAAATAATCTCACCTCCCACTTCCTCCATATCCCTGGCCTCTATGGCTGATGATTGAAGCTATCTACTATCATTTCCATGAGGCAATGCACTGCATAGCGCATTGGAATGATAAGGAACGGTGTGTGTGGGTGTGGTGTGCACAGTGTGTAGTCTGTAGTAGGCAGTGCACAATGTGCAGTGTAGTGCAGTGCTGTGCAGTGTAGTGCAGTGCTGTGCAGTGCTGTGCTGTGCAGTGCTGTGCAGTGCTGTGCTGTGCAGTGCTGTGCAGTGCACAATGTGCAGTGTAGTGCAGTGCTGTGCAGTGCTGTGCAGTGCTGTGCAGTGCTGTGCAGTGCTGTGCTGTGCAGTGCTGTGCAGTGCTGTGCAGTGCTGTGCAGTGCTGTGCAGTGCTGTGCAGTGTTGTGCAGTGCTGTGCAGTGTTGTGCAGTGCTGTGCAGTGCTGTGCTGTGCAGTGCTGTGCAGTGCTGTGCTGTGCAGTGCTGTGCTGTGCAGTGCTGTGCAGTGCTGTGCTGTGCAGTGCTGTGCAGTGCACAATGTGCAGTGTAGTGCAGTGCTGTGCAGTGCTGTGCAGTGCTGTGCTGTGCAGTGCTGTGCAGTGCTGTGCAGTGCTGTGCAGTGTTGTGCAGTGCTGTGCAGTGTTGTGCAGTGCTGTGCAGTGCAGTGCAGTGCTGTGCAGTGCTGTGCAGTGCTGTGCAGTGCTGTGCAGTGCTGTGCAGTGCAGTGCTGTGCAGTGCTGTGCAGTGCTGTGCAGTGCTGTGCAGTGCTGTGCAGTGCTGTGCAGTGCTGTGCAGTGCTGTGCAGTGCTGTGCAGTGCTGTGCAGTGCTGTGCAGTGCTGTGCAGTGCTGTGCAGTGCTGTGCAGTGCTGTGCAGTGCTGTGCAGTGCTGTGCAGTGCTGTGCAGTGCTGTGCAGTGCTGTGCAGTGCTGTGCAGTGCTGTGCAGTGCTGTGCAGTGCTGTGCAGTGCTGTGCTGTGCTGTGCAGTGCTGTGCTGTGCAGTGTTGTGCAGTGCTGTGCAGTGTTGTGCAGTGCTGTGCAGTGCTGTGCAGTGTTGTGCAGTGCTGTGCAGTGCTGTGCAGTGTTGTGCAGTGCTGTGCAGTGTTGTGCAGTGCTGTGCAGTGCTGTGCAGTGTTGTGCAGTGTTGTGCAGTGTTGTGCAGTGTTGTGCAGTGCTGTGCAGTGTTGTGCAGTGCTGTGCAGTGCTGTGCAGTGTTGTGCAGTGTTGTGCAGTGCTGTGCAGTGTTGTGCAGTGTTGTGCAGTGTTGTGCAGTGCTGTGCAGTGTTGTGCAGTGCTGTGCAGTGCTGTGCAGTGTTGTGCAGTGCTGTACAGTGCTGTGCAGTGCTGTGCAGTGTGCAGTGTTGTGCAGTGTTGTGCAGTGGTGCAGTGTGCAGTAGTGCAGTGGTATACTGTGCACCGCACAGTGCACCATTGCATAATGTGTGCAGTGCCCAGTGCATGGCATGCAGTGCGTAGTGCACAGTGCATGGCATGCAGTGTGTAGTGCACAGTGCATGGCATGCAGTGTGTAGTGCACAGGGCAGAGTGCCCAGTGCATGGCATGCAGTGTGTAGTGCACAGGGCAGAGTGCCCAGTGCATGGCATGCAGTGTGTAGTGCACAGTGCATAGCATGCAGTGCGTAGTGCCCAGTGCATAGCATGCAGTGCGTAGTGCACAGTGCATAGCATGCAGTGCAGAGTGCACAGTGCAGAGTGCGCACTGTGCACTGTTCTACATGTACTTTTTTCTTCAGTATGTAGTGCACTTACATAGATACCCTGGTCAGCAGTGGGTAACGGCTCTTGATCGACTTGACTCAAACTTGTCGCTTGCTTGTAGCTGGTAGCTTGTCCTTCTGCCTCCCCATGGTTCTGGTCCAAAGGTTCCAGTGTATGATACAACGTACTGCCATCACCCCTACCACTACCATCATTAGGATCAAGATCGATGGGATAATCATAGTCTTTATAATCCCTGCTGCTGTCATGCTGTATAGCGCTACTACCAACACGTGCCAACGTACTATCAACAGCACAACCATCACCAGAACCAGGATCAAGGTCGATGGGATATTCATAGACTTCGTCCACTCTGCTGCTGTCATCCAGTATAGTGTTACTGTCAACAGGGGACAGGTACTCGCTTGGCGCTGCTGCTCCACGTCTCCTCTTCTTCTGCAGTAGAACAATGCGAAGCATGTAGTCGAATCAACATAGAGATCAGTAGCTGAAAGTGAAAATCCATCCTCTCAACCATTGCTCCTAGTTCATTAGCTCCCTCCCTCGCACAAGCCGCAAGTAGACACAGAGGTATCTTTGGGCTTAGGAGTGCTGGCTTCGAAACATTTGGTTTGAAGCTCAAAGTAGAGCTGCTGTTACATCTAGCTCAAAGTAGAGCACACACACATTTTGACCTTAGTATACCCATCGCTCCATGCACCAATAGCAAAAGCAGTGGCAGCACTTCTGGGCAATTCAAACGGTTAGGCTGACTGAAATCTCTTCCAGCTTGGAAGGTTAGTGTTGGACAAAACGGATAACTTGTAAACTTATGGTCCTCTTTTTTTTTAAATTTAATCCTTGGCTCTCCATCCGAGTTGAGTACAATAAAACAATGGTTAGATATGTGTACATCATACCATTAAAACTGGTCCTGTCAATGGAAATGAGTGGTAGTCATTCTCCCCTTTTGCCCCAGCGCTGGCTTCTTCATAGATAGGCTGATGTGCGCCGAAATCCTTTCCTGAAAGACAAACGAATAACAAGCCAAGTTCGCACAAACACAGTGACACACACACACACACACACTCACACACACACACACACACACACACATGTACACACAAACACATAGTATTATACATAAATGCCCATGTGCTCGCATGTGCATACATGCATTCAGGACACATGCATACATACACACACACACACACACACACATACACACACACTTGTACTTGCTCACTGCCAAAACTGGTCACGTGGGTCTCCCCGGGAGAGGGGAGAGAGACTCAAAAGGAATCTTGGAAATATGACTCAATTGGCCATTGAACCACCCAACGGCCGACACCCCCTGAAATCCCCAAACTAGGGTGGACTTGAAATGATCCCACTTATGGGCTCACCACACCTCAGTAAGTGGGTGAGGACAAGGTGCAGAAAAAGGATTGACGGCATCAGGGTATCCGTCTCGGGATCCAACTGCAGGTACCCCTGCCCCCAGTGAAGGTAATACTAGGTACTAGTGTGGGTGGCTAAATCAGAGTGGATCTGATAAAAGCTTCACTAGCACCATTGATTACACAAGAGTTTATCTAGCCAGAAGTAGTCCATGGTTAACAGTAGGGGTGAAAGGGGTGATCCGGGTACCCGTGTACCCGTTTGTTTAGCTGCTGACCCGTTAGCAAACGAGTACCCGTTAGTCGTGTACGACGGTACAGTACGGTAATATTAGCTGATTTGCACAGTTGTTCAATTTGATGTACAGATTGAATGTCTTGTTGCTTGTTCGATCCTGCTAAATTAGACAATTTTGACTGTTTTGAATGTAGCGCAGTACGTGCGCATGCTGCGCTTGTCGCGTTGTAGTGCACTTGCTGTGAATGGCATGACTTTGCATGTCCTCCTTGCACAAAATGTATAGTAACTGTCACTATTGGCTGCTAAAGGGTACCCGATAACCCGCCCGTTAAGCCAGGTACCCGTTCGTAACCTTAAAGGGTAACCGTTTCACCCCTAGTTAACAGGTATGTATACTTCAAATAGAAAGTATATGAACCCTGAAACCAAAAAAGGTGGTAGGTACAACAATACACCTTCAAGCAGCCGAGCCCGTTGGCAACAGGCCCAACACTATCTGGCATAAGTGTACCCACCAACCGAACTAGCTGGCAACACACACACACACACCCCCACCCCCACCCCCACCCCCACCCCCACCCCCACCCCCACACCCACCCCCACCCCCACCCCCACACCCACACCCACACCCACACCCACACCCACACCCACACCACACACACACACACACACACACACACACACACACACACACACACACACACACACACACACACACACACACACACACACACACACACACACACACATGTATACACGCACGCACACACACACACACACACATGTATACACGCACGCACACACACACGAGCGCGCGCGCACACATGGAGGTGCAGAACACAGGTAGTGCACAATTTCATATCGTTACTGTATGTGTTGCATGTGAGTGGTCTAGCGTGGCCATGCGCGAGTTGTAACTGCAAGAGTGGAAAGTTTAAGAAAATTTTCGCGGATCTCGTGAGACTCGGTTGGGGCCGAGTTTTCCACATCCGTAGGAACGCCACCACCCTCCATGGGTCTTTGGATCTACTATGGACTCTATGCAAGAGTGTGAGCAGGAGAGAAAACTTAAATTGGAAAGGAAACTAACCTTCCTCTTCACTGTATATGTGTTGCATAGGGAAGTCACCACCAGACGCTCGATTGGCTTCAATCAAATCCGACCTTTCCGCCGCCTTCTCATCAGTCTCTTTTGATACACTTTCGTTTCGCCGCCGAATGACCAGAACGACAATGATGACGACAATTGCTAGCACAACAGCCACTGCAGAACCGGCAATGATCGGTATTGTGGATGTTGAAGTTGATGATAGGGAGTCAGGTCCACCAAGGAGAGGCGTTGTCATAGCAATAGTTGTGGTATCGCTAGATGAGCCAGGGTGGGTAGTTGCATGTGTGTTGGTAGTCAATGGTTCTTGAGATACTCCTTGATCCATAGATCCAGGATCGTGCTGCGTTGTTGCAGGAGGTGGAGTTGTCGTCACTGGGGAAGTGGCCATGGGTGCGCTAGCTGCAGCAGTAGTTGGTATTGGGGCTGGTGTAGGTGATGCTGAGGTAGTCATTGTAGCGGTAGTAGGTATGCTACTTGGTATAGTGGTTGGCATAGTGGTTGGTGTGACGTTTGGTATGGTGGTTGGTATGGTGGTTAGTGTGATGGTTGGCATAGTGGTTGGGGTGGTGGTTGGTGTGGTGGTCGGTGAGGTAGTTGGTGTGGTAGTTGGTGTGGTGATCGATATGGTGGTTGGTGTAGTGGTTGGTACGGTTGTTGGTGTGGTTGTCGGTGTGGTGGTTGGTGTGGTGGTTGGTGCGATTGTTGGTGGTGTTGTTGGTGTTGTTGTTGGTGTTGTTGTTGGTGTAGTTGTTGGTGTGGTTGTTGGTGTGGTTGTTGGTGTGGTTGTTGGTGTGGTTGTTGGTGTTGTTGTTGGTGTGGTTGTTGGTGTAGTTGTTGGTGTAGTTGTTGGTGTTGTTGTTGGTGTTGTTGTCGGTGTTGTTGTTCGTACCGTGGTTGGGATGTAAGTACAAGTACCAGAAGCACCACCAGTTCCACTGTATCCACTCTTACATACACAACTGTATGATCCAAATGTGTTACTACACACATTGTTTGTGTAGTTCGTGCACAGGGATGGTGTGGCTGCGCACTCGTCGATATCTGAAAAAGCAACAGCACATGACACAGCACAAGTACCGTAATGTCGCGTATGTAAGACAAGCTTATTCCTGTAGAAGCCGATATTCAGTGCTACGCTTCTATTCACATCAGGCTTTTGTTCAAACCGGGCATTTCTGTGTCAACACTAAAACAAGGCTTATGCACCGAAAGCGTATCTTGAAAATCAGGCTTGTATTCCAAACAGGCTTCTATGTGAGACAGGCTTTGGTACAGGACACAGCACCAGTAATCCCAAAACTGTACTCCAAAGCACAGCATGCACCATAGGGCCAGGCAAATGTTTAGATAGTGTGTAGAGCCCGGAATATTGTTCGGCTGATTGGAACTACTTTCCGTGGCTGGGGTAATGGACCCATACGTATCTCGTGATATGGGTACCGCCGGGTGCGACTGATGGGGGACCAGGATCTAGGCAGAGCTAGTCAATGAACACAAGTGCCCTCCCCTGAAAAGTGAAAACCCAACAGGTTCGACCCGTCCTGGTCACATCTCAATGAACAGTGCACTACCTGCCGCGTCCAGCAGCCGTTCATATTGTCAGAGGAACACTGCATAGCCTTACAAGAGTATTTGTGGCCAACGCTAAGCTAAGTTTCGACAACACTTCAAACAGTAAGCAGAGTATTTGTGGCCAACGCTAAGCTAAGTTTCGACAACACTTCAAACAGTAAGCAGTATGTGTACTCCTCGCTTGTAGCATGCAGGAGAAATACTAATTGGAGGAGCCTCGGCGAACTCCAATAGAGTTCTACTAGTCTCCTCGTAACATTAATGATCACTGCGTTGGTCACAGTGATGATAGGAGATATTGGACACCCTTAGCAAACAACGTTATGTTATAACGGTATTACCGTAAGGGGGAAAATACCGTGATTTAGGCTCGACCTTTACCAAGATACACGCTATTTTTTAGTGGTGTGCATGGGTAGTCAGGTACCCGTGCTACCCGTGAGGACTTCGGGTAGACGGGTAGAGAATAGTACCCGAAAACCCGAAGTCACAGAAGACATCAAGTACAGTGCACGTGTACAAATTGATGGAATACTCCGCATGTCTGCCCAGTGTGTAAAGGAAGGGGCGCATTGTGGTGTTACCATGAAAACATTACCCGATCGGGTACCCGTGCTACCCTTGGAAAATTATCCGAACCCGATACCCGAAGAAAATGCTACCCGACTCAGCATTACTATTTTTAGTACGCTGTTGCCACGAGAATAGCTTTTAGTTAATGCGGTACAACCATTTATGCCACCATATGCGCGATACAAGGTGAACTGCGTACAGACTATGCAATATTTGGCCAAAAAACGTACCGTTGGTCACAACGATAAATCAGCCCCCATTGCGTTTTTACGCTGCAGCTTCAACGCTATTTGGGTGATCAAGGTACGAGTACCGTAAAAATAGCGTTAGTACCGTTGTTTGCTAAGAGTGTTTATTACGTAGGCAAAATCTTCAGAAACGGAAGTTGGAGAAAAGAACAGAAATCATTGAAATCAGGGTGGAGCCTTGCACAAACCCGGCATGTCAAGCTGAGAGTTTAGAAGGGAGAATGGAGTGAGTATGCTTACCTTTGAAAATCATGCGCAAGGACAGGTCGATTTCCACCTTTTTACTAAAGGTGCGCTTGTTTGAAACACTAGGTAGTGTGTCCTTCCCATTTTGATATTGCGCACCAGTTGCTTTTGTTGAGCTTCCCAGCACACGACATCCTGTCTGCTGTGTTGTGACGCCAATGTAGACAGTCCGGGAGTACGGCATTAACCTCCGGTTTCCAACCGTGTAGTTATAGCTGAACAGGGTAGGTGTGGATACGGCCGGCATGGTCACCTTGGGTTCTACATACTCCAGTACGTATTCGTTATTCCTTAAGACCGATGTATCTCGGTTCCAGACTGACACAATGAAATCACAGTTTGTCGTGCTAGAGTGGTACAGCTGAAAGCCCCAGATTCTCACGTTGCACTGTGTTATACTGTACGTGGGCAGTATCCAGGTGAACTTGTACGCATTGCTCTGTCCTTTCAGCACCGTGCCATCCTGAGCTGGCGTACCGCCAAGAGAAGAGCACGCTGCATGGGCTGCACATACACGACCAAAAGAGCAGTGTTGATGATAACCAAGCAGAAAACCCTACAAACTGGGCAATGAATGATTATGCAGGCCCGGAGACACAAGCTCCTCAGTTACAGTCATGTCTCTACCAGGTTTCACCAATCAAAGTACTCATGGCATGTTCAATGTTCAACATGCAGTTGACTATGTGGAAGTACTGATATGCTATCTTTGTGTGCTTCTCGCTAGAGTATCTCCTTCCTAGGCTGTTCTTCTTGTCCAATGTGGACTACTGTGCTAGCTGTATATCTGTTGCTAACGAAGGTGTTGCTGCACATTGACAAAGCATGGAGCCTGAGATCCTCTCCCCCCCCCCCCCCCCCCGCCCCACACCTAATAATGATCTGCTGAAATTGGACATGGGTAAATGATCAACATCGCAGCAGACCATGGTGCTGTACCACCCCTGGGGAGGTGAGTCTGGGTCTCTTACGCTCCCCACCTATTTCCAGTCTCACTTTGCAATGACCATCACTACAAGCACATTCATACAACCAGGAAGATGTAATGGAGTGCTAGGAACGCTGAGGCGGAGGGTTTGCCTGTCTGCACACGCCAGTACTATCACCCCCACCATCACACACGCTCACTCATTAACTCGTACCCCTCCCCACCCTCGGCTCCTCCCCTCACACCAGCAAGCGGTGGACAAAAACCATCACACAAACGATACTGTACATCATCAGTGATGTTATTACTCAAATTAATTTGATTGAATGGCATGTGAGCTGGCAGAGTGAAAGGAGCCCTAAAACACCGATTCCAGGAACCCTAAACCCATAGTAAAGCCACTCACCGCATGCTATCATTCCGAAAATGACCAGCAGGCGCTGGTGAAGGTAGCGTCGTCCTATCATCTTTTATAATGTTAGTCCCTGCATGGATTCTGCGAAGCTCATTGCCACTGTCAATGGCTTGAAAACTGATCACGCTGGGGCTGGGCTTGCCTGGCGGAGATAACGACTTTCTCGAATTATTTGTCTTCGTGACCTGCGCATTCTTCTGAGCGGTCGTCACCCCAACCTTAGTTCAGTCATTACCGGAACCATCCACAAATTTCACTACGATAAAGAGATTTCCTCGTTGCGCTCTTTCTCAATGGTGATACGGAGGCTTCGCTTAGACAACACCATCATCGTTATCATGCTGCTGTGTCTTTGCTGAGATTGAACCTATCGCGACCTACTATCAGCACGTTCAAGTAAGTTAGTTGTCAGCACCCTGCTCAGAGCCTGTCACTCTGTCAGCTGAGAATGGATTGCAGAGGCGGACAGCTCCCTATAAGTAGCGAGTAGCCGTCGTTGGAGATCTGTTTCGAGGCATGGAGGGTATTCCCTTGTAAGGACTGCTGGTAAGCCGTGATAGCGCGCACAGGATCGCTATCAACAGGCAACGGATGATGTGTTCCTTGTTCGAGCAAGACTGTAGGAGGCAGAGCGGCATCAAACTCCAATGCGCCTCCTCGCTCTTGCTATTGACTATTGTATATTCACACGGGACACCAAGAACCAATCCACAGTTGGCACGCTTTACAAGACATTGGCCAGTATCTTGAAACTTTCGAAGGCATCAGGCGGTATTTCGTCACGCAAGAAAGAGTTTTCTTCGTGCTCATCGCGCGCAGCCTAGCCAGTCGACTAGTCCAGAGGAAAAATACAGCAAGTAACCCGCGCAGCGCAGAGGCTACTCGCACAAATGACCATGGTGACACTTCACTCTTCAGCTTGAACAATATGAAGTAACTTAGTTCAGCCTAGCGCCTTCACTGACTTCAGAAGTTCACTTCAGGTTGGGCAAGCGAGGCTGACGAACACAAGAGCAAAAATCGTGAAAAATTATATCTTTCACGCACGACCTCGAAACGCGTCCGGGTGTCATTCGCGGTCGATCCGCAGGTCCTCCTACAGTCCTAGCCTCGGTCAGGCCCGGGGAGGTGCAGTTTGATCTTTTGTCGTTTTGAGGTAGCACAGTAGATCTACTCAGTAGTCCGTAGATATCCTTGAAGGCAGATATCAGACTCCTGATCTTCCAGCTCTAGCGTGACCACAGCGGGCCGGGCAGGTCGAATGCCCTACCCCATCCTCCCGGGTCCCGATCCCAGAATCCCACCCACCGCGTACCGGTAGTTGAATGTAACGTTGAATGTTGTTGCCTTGGTGACATTTTCATGCTCGGTCAGTACAACCACCAATCACTGAATCAGCTACCATCGCGTGATGAATTATTATTTGAGGCATTGTACGCATGCTCACCAATGCAGCTGCAGAACAGTGTAGCCCGCGCTCTCTTGGCTTGGCCAGTTGTCCTCCAACTTTTGTGGTGCAAGGAGAAGAAGGAAGGAGATGGACCTCGTGTTTCATATTCACGTTTACTCCGCATCCCTTGGACCTAATCTACTTTCAGCCATTAGCCTCAATACTTCAACGCACAGAATGTGACCTACCACATCGCTAACAGCTGTGCCTGCTTGCGTGCATCCCGTGTTCGTCGCGCGCTCTGCT